TAAAACATTTTATTTATTAATTATTTAGTATGGATTAAATAGTTGATAGGCTTATATAATATATCATCTTCTTAAAATGTATTAGTTCCTTGATGAAAAGGTTATAATAATACATTCTAGAATTTTTTTAGGAGGATGACGTGTGGGGGCAGTGAAGGTTGGACTGACTTGCTTTGGATGTTCAATTTTCAGCTCATATTATGCTGAACAACATAGAAACAGAAAGTATAACACAAACTACTTATATTTTAGCTGGAGAATATGCACATAATCCACTGAAAATTAGTGACTGAGCTTAGCTACGGCTGTACTAGTGACCTTATTCACTGAGGAAAGACTGTGTATATGGTGTACTACAGGCATCAACCGTTCAGCCAGGACTGTGTATCTGGTATACTACTGACATCATCCACTGAGCCAATACTGTGTATCTGGTATACTACTGACATCATCCACTGTGCCAATACTGTGTATCTGGTGTACTTCCTACATCATCCACTGTGACAAGACTGTGTATCTGGTGTACTACTGACATCAACCACTGTGACAAGACTGTGTATCTGGTGTACTACTGACATCAACCACTGTGACAAGACTGTGTATCTGGTGTACTACTGACAGCATCCACTGAGCCAAGACTGTGTGTCTGGTGTACTACTGACATCATCCACTGAGCTAAGTTTGTGTGTCTGGTGTACTACTGACATCATCCACTAAGCTAAGACTGTGTGTCTGGTGTACTACTGACATCATCCACTGAGCTAAGACTGTGTATCTGGTGTACTGCTGACATCATCCACTGAGCTAAGACTGTGTATCTGGTGTACTGCTGACATCATCCACTGAGCTAAGACTGTGTGTCTGGTGTACTACTGACATCATCCACTGAGCTAAGACTGTGTGTCTGGTGTATTGCTGACATCATCCACTGAGCTAAGACTGTGTATCTGGTGTACTGCTGACATCATCCACTGAGCTAAGACTGTGTATCTGGTGTACTGCTGACGTCATCCACTGAGCTAAGACTGTGTATCTGGTGTACTGCTGACGTCATCCACTGAGCCAGGACTTTGTATCTGGTGTGCTACTGACATCATCCATTAAGGCAGACTGTCTGGGTACTACTGACATCATCCATTGAGGCAAGACTGTCTGGGTACTACTGACATTATTCACTAAGTAAGTAAGTAAAGTAAGTAAAGGACCCTTTTCCACGCCTTTAGGCGTATAGGGCATATAGGGCTAGACCTATTTTTTTTAAAGACCAATCAGCACAAGATGGTAGATGTGGTCAGCATCACGCCAGTAAGTAAAGATCCCTTTACACGCCCTTAGGTGCATCGGACATATGGGAAGAGCACCCTTATTCTACAGACCAAACGGCACTCGGTGGGTAATGTGGTCAGCATTACGCTGGTCGTCTTTACTTTCCCAGGACAGCCCATCCTGGTACCCATTTGAGGCTGGGTCGACCTGCGTCGTCTCATACCACGATAAAAATCCACGCAGCCCACGTAGGTTTCGATCGCGGTACATTGGATCACGAGTCTGACTCGCAACGCCTTAGCCACGGACGCCGCATATTATTCACTAAGCCAAGACCGACCCCTTATAGAAGGCCTTGATATAGCTAATAAGAGATAACAACAAGGATCCTAGTCTGAACAGCAGAAAAAGAGTAAAGTCTTGCATGCAGCATATATATATATATATATATATATATATATATATATATATATATATATATATATATATATATATATAAAATCAGCTTTTTAGAGACAAATCCACCAATGGCACCAGTGACTCCGTAATATCTTCTTACTTAAAATTCCGACCCCTAGGGATGCCCCCCCCCCCCCCAAAATATGGCGTTTGATTACTGAAGACTAATAGAGATAAATGACTTTGTTGGACAGTTTAGGTGCCAGTTTTGCAGTATTTATATAACTTTTTTCATATTTTACTATGTAACCTATACACTATCTATAACCCTGAAATAAACCAATCAAACCTGTTTGCTAGATAGCTTTTATATACATAACATAAAAGTCTAGCATCGTACACCTCTACTGCATCACCTTTACATAGATTTACCATATAACATTTATACTTCCACATCCTTTAACAACGCCAGTAAATACTACTTGCCCAATAGCTTTCTTTATTATACTATATAATCCCTAAAACCACCCCTGCTCACCTTTTTGCTTTTGAAACCCTCTAGTCTTCTGCTTTGCCCGCTTCACCACTCATGGACACACATAGCTACAACTGACACCAGACCCAGCTAAACCCCGCCCCACCCGAGAAGCAGCTGAACTACATAGAAACGCGTAATCGACCCCCCCCCCCCCACCTTCCAGCCCACGGTCTTTATACTCTATTTAGACATGAGAGGCGTGAATGGGTTCTCTTCTTTAGACCATATAAGAAGCGTACTAAGAATATATAAAGCTGCAATTAGTATAGCTCGATAAAGAATAAAACCACATAAATAATATGCATATAACTTTCCTACACTACTGTCCACATCTCTCACAACAATGTTGATAGATAGAATTAAAAAGAACCATATAGCTCTCACCATAGTAGAAAAATCAGTTGTATTAACTCTTTCGCCCCAGGCGATTAACGAAAGCTTCTGATATATGTATAGGATATACAGACAGGCAGACATAAACTGAGAAACAACATAAAGTATTCTTATAAACATTGAAGATGAAATGAACATGCACTAGGCTCAATCTAATTTGTACTTACCACCGACTTTGCATCTTTTGGACTCAAAAAAGTGTCGTAAACTTGAACAATGACGTCACAGTCAAGAATATTCGCTTTTTCAATTTTCAGCATCCATTTGGCCTTGTCTGGCGTAGTTAATGTCACCTCACACAAACCACGCCCCATCCTGAATCCACCAGCGCCCTCCAGGAGAGCTGCAGGCACTTCCCGGATAATACTGCTGCAGACCGGTCTTCTCATAGGAACTGTGGACAGAGAAGCTTTCATAGATCAGGCTAACTTATGCGGCAGTTTTATTATTTATGGGCCTAATAAGTTACCTCTAACAATTCGTATCCAACTACTTTATGAGTGTGACCTTTTTTGGACAACATATTGTGAGCTGCAATATGTGTGTGTGAACCTGGCAAAGCAGTTCAATCACCATGGATTACCCAAAAATGTGGGTCGTCTCATATCACAACAAGTAAATCTACGTAGTTACCGGCTTCGCGAAACACAATTTATCTAACAGCAGAGATGATGAAAACTGACCAGCACAGTGCAAAAATTATCTTGATGTTGTCTTGGCAATCCTGGACATAATTTCTGGTCTTGACCCCTGGTCACTTAAACTGAATCAATAAATATTTGAAAGGATTGACTTGTTCTAATTTGTGACCCTTAACGTACATTGGTGAAGTTATGCCAGCTGGATTATTAGTCATTACTTTTAATAGCTCTCTCATTAGCACAGTAGTTGCTGTTGCCTAAGTATGTTGTAGCGGTCGAAAGTGTGACCCGGTTGCGTGGTACAGCAGCTGGCAGGGTCTTTGCCTGCATGCCCTACCGAGGCATTACAGCAGAGGTTCTCAAAATTGGTGCGTATGTCAGGGGTGCTGCGGCGAAAATTAAAAAAAGTCGGCTATAAATTGTGACATCATTAAAGAAGGCATGAAGATACTTAAAAGTTAAAATTTCAATTGTCTTTCCTCGCCACTGTCAAAAAGAGTTTTTACCTTGTTTCACACTCAAAGTGAATCATACTGCATAAAATTCCAACCGCAGCTGTTAAAAATTGTCTTTGTATTTATCTCGAGGTGCGACTGATCTTCCATCTATATTCGTGAAGGCTCAGTAGATAAGTAAGGTTGTGATTACATTCTGGCTGAAATTTTAAGATGGAAAATGTGGTCTGTCACTGTTAGCCTCGTCGAGTAAGCACTTAAATTTAGAGGCAATGCGTTGTGAGTCCTGGACAATTGGTAGGCAGGCCAAACAATTTCTTGAGGCCTCAGTGATGTCATTTTACAAAACAATGCTCAAAATACTCTGGACAGCAAAAAAAAAAAAAAAAAAGCAACCAAGAGGTTTTGAAAGTTTGCGGAAGCCAGAAGATAACTAATCACAGACATCAAAAGGAGACAGTCATCATTTTTTGGCCATGTTATGAGAAGAGGAAGAATGAAACATATGGTAACCACAGGAAAGATCTGTGGAAGGAGGGACAGAGGAAGACAACGAGAGAAGATTATTGATAGTCGTGTTGCATGGAATGGAGTTGTTTCGGCACACGAACTGATACATGCTGCAGGAGATTGCAGATTGTGGCGAGGCATATTCCCCCATGCCAGTCGGCAAGGCACCTGATGATGATGATGATGCACTATAGTGCCGAATAGTTGGTCCTGCTATTCGTATTCGGCCGAACAGTTAGTCCCGCTATTCGTATTCGGCCAAATAGTGAAAATCACTATTCGGTACAGCCCTAGTTTTTGTTCAGGATTCACGATGGATAATGTGTAGTCACAGTAACGCCGGCCCCATTAGCCTGTATTATCGCGAATAAGATTCCAGTGTGCACCTGGGGGAGGTGGGGCTGGCTTGTGCGATCACGGACTAGTTATTTTGTCTGTTCACCTTCCTGAGAGACCTGGCTGCAGTGCTAGTGGTGACCACACCTAGCATTGCAAATACCGGTTTGGAAAAGGAAAGGTAATACTAGAGACTGTGCATCGTACAGTGGTATATCACTCTTGAGCCACATAGAGAGTGCATCGTACAGTGGTATATCACTCTTGAGCCACATAGAGAGTGCATCGTACAGTGGTAAATTACTCTTGAGCCACACAGGGAGTGCACCGTACAGTGGTATATCACTCCTGAGCCACATAGGAAGTACATCGTACAGTGGTATATCACTCTTGAGCCACATAGGGAGTGAGTCGTACAGTGGTAAATTACTCTTGAGCCACACAGGGAGTGCATCGTACACTGGTATATCACTCCTGAGCCACATAGGGAGTATATCGTACAGAGGTATATCACTCTTGAGCCACATAGGGAGTACATCGTACAGTGGTATATCACTCTTGAGCCACATATGAAGTGCATCGTACAGTGGTATATCACTCTTGAGCCACATAGGGAGTGAGTCGTACAGTGGTATATCACTCTTGAGCCACATAGGGAGTGTATCGTACAGAGGTATATCACTCTTGAACCACATAGGGAGTGTATCGTACAGAGGTATATCACTCTTGAGCCACATAGGGAGTTCATCATACAGAGGTATATCACTCTTGAGCCAATTAGGGAGTGCATCGTACAGTGGTATATCACTCTTGAGCCACAGAGGAAGTGCATCGTACAGAGGTATATCACTCTTGAGCCACATAGGGAGTATATCGTACAGAGGTATATCACTCTTGAGCCACGCAGGGAGTACATCGTACAGAGGTATATCACTCTTGAGCCACACAGGGAGTGCATCGTACAGTGGTAAATTACTCTTGAGCCAATTATGGAGTGCATTGTACAGTGGTATAACACGCTTGAGCCACATAGGGAGTGTATCGTACAGTGGTATATCACTCTTGAGCCACATAGAGAAAATGTATGCAAAGTTATTAGAGCAAAGAGTTAGACTTATAGTGGAACAGCAACTAAGTACATCATAATTTAGCTTCAGGAAAGAAGCAGGTTGCGCAGAAGCATTATTTTCACTAAGACAAATTTGCGAGAAAACCATTGAATGTGGCGATTAAATGATTAGTGTGTTTTTAGATCAAGAAACCATTTTCGTAGAGTAGATAGAAACAAACTATGGGCTATTCTTGAGGATTATGGGATACAATGACAATTGCTAGACAACATCGTGGAAATGTACCACATTTTCCAAAGCGCAGTGAGAACACAAAAAGGCATGTCTAATACGTTTACAATCAATACAGGGGTGAGGCAGAGATGTGTGCTATCTACTCTCTTATTTACTATATACAAGACAGAATATCAAAAGAAGTCAGTTTAAAAATAGTTGACCCTGAAAAAAAAAAAAAAAAACTTTACGTTCCAGAGGAAGAATTAGATGCACACAATAAAAGAGCTACCATTTTCAGACGATTAGTGCTTGTTCTACAGTGAGGGGAGTAGACTGCAAGACTACTTGAACAAGCTAAGTCAACATGCACAAGATATAACATGAAAATAAATACTATTAAAACTGAAGTAATGCAGGTCAGCAGAATTCCTAGACCGCTAAAAATCATCTTTTCTGGTACCTATTTGAAGCAAGTTACAGAATGTAAATATCTAGCAAGTACATTCTTGGAGGACTGAATAATAGGTCGGGAAATAGAAACAAAATTCCAACAAGACAGTGCACTTATATACCAAATGACACATATATTAAGACACATAAACATAAGTATGAGCGCCAAGGAACAAATTATGAACAACATATTTCTCCCAACACTGAGCTACCAGTGCCGGACATAATCAAAGGCGTGTTAACCATTTGATTATTAGTGTCGCGCGCCCACGTGGGTAAATACACTGATATAGTGAGGGTGTGGGTTTGAACCTTAACAATGCCCACCCACGTGGGAAACTGGACTATTATCTAAGCTATGTTGATCCTAGACAGTCCTGGATAGCCAAGAAAACAGCGAGTGGCTCGTTCCATGAAATGAAAGTTGCTGTACTTGTATCCACAGGAGAAGGAGAAGGGATAGATAGAAATCTGGATACACCCACTGTGATATAATCCAGGTGCTCAGTTAACCCCTGCGACTGGTCTCCTCTCCTGGCATTGCTAAAAAGCCCCCATCAAGTGATTTAAATATTTGTTAGCTGAAGTAAACTAATATGCACAAAGACACTTGAACCTAAGTACACAATTTACTCAACTATTATGAAACTCATCACACATGATTTATTTGAATAAATCGAAATTAAAATGAACTTGTTTAGGCTAGTAGAGTTGGAATGATGGAAATGATAAAGGTATTGGAAAGTAACAACCTTTGGACAGTTCTCGGCTTGAGACCCTGCCTATCTTTTCCAGTTTGTCGTCCTCACTGCTTTCTGCAGGTCGTTACACTCGACGGTCGGCAAATAATGGATGCCTACTAGTCCCTGCCCAATGTGGGAACTGGAGAATGAAGAAACAAGCGCATATTTGTAGTATCTGCTCTAGATGTACACTAAGCATGTATATTATACTAACATCAAGCATGTTTATTTAAATAAAAATTTTCATGTCTCTCCCTCATGCTCACATTCACTCTCTGTTCCAATTTGGAAGGGGGGCTTATGTCTCAACATTCCAACTGTTACATCTTCTGCCTTCCTCTACACGTCCTGTAATGATAGTCAAGTCTTCTACGTCAGGTGCCAGCTCTCGTACAGACTCAAAATGACAATCAGTCCGACAGAACCAGTTCTGGAATCTATGCTTGGAACCATCGACGCGCCCAGAAAGCTAACAATATTATG